GGTCCTACAACACTTTTTAATTTGGCATTTTATTCCTTTAGTTAAATCCATCCAACTTTTTAAAGTGATAGAATCTTGTATATACCTGCATTCACTTATATTATGTAAAGGAGTAGTTGAAAAACTATCCATAGAAAAAATAGTTAATTTTTCTAGATCATGCTTTTCAAGTTTATGTAGAGGTCGTATCCGGTCAAAAAATAGGCATTCGAATATTCATTTGTTCAATTATTTTACTATTCGGGTATTCATTAGAAAATCCCAAATAAATATCCGAATATTCAATGAATATTCATTGAATATTTGTTTGCACGTGACAATACATATAGAGTATATAAATTCGAATATTCACTAAATATTCAATGAATATTTTTTGTGGCTTAGGTATGCTCTACATACGTATCAATATAAATTCGAATATTCACCGAATAACTGAATATTCAATGAATTTTTTTTGTGGCTTAGGTCTTACATAGAACGAAAAACAACTCTTTATTCATAATGCAGTAATATCATAAATAAGATCTCTTAGAATACCCCAAAAAGGTAGAGGTTTAAGCTTCTTTTAATAAATATATTAAATACTATACCCTTTTTATTATGGTTAGTCCGTATCCCTTCTATTATTATAATTGTATGTACTATATTTATGTGATCTGAATATATATTTAATGAGGCTTAACTCAGTTAGAGAAGTCAAGATATCAAGAAATAGCACCAAAATAATTATTCTTCTCCTTCGTAATTACTTAAATGCTTGTGAATATTAACATTATTTTATTAAATTGCATCAAAAATAGGGTTCGCCAACGATACTAGCACAAATTTCTTTTTAAAGCAAATATGTACTTGTAGACGACTCGACTCTATTTATTTAATTTTAAGTATAATTTATTTATTTATAATAAATATATAATTTGTTTAATATATAATTTAAAATATAATTCTAACTTGTATAATTCTATTCAAAAAATGTTCAATTTTAATCATCGGTTTATGGAAACTTGATGCACAAAAAAAATCTACTTAATAATTTGTAGAGACGCGTAATTATATAATTAATTATTCACCTCTTTTACTGTAAGATATTTGTTTTAGCATAAATTTCATCAAGTTCATTATTATTCCGTTTTAAAAACAACATTCGTTCGAATAACTTGGGCTTTAACATTGTTCTTCTAATAGTCATTGTATTACTTGCATCACTGAAAAGTCGCTCACTCAGAGTTGAGATTGCAGATATTGCAAGGTATTGCCTTGCAAGCTTGTTAAGAATAGGAAAAGAGGCTTTTTGGGAATTCCACCATTTAAAAGGATCTGACTTATAATGGATTTCGGGTAAAGAAAAGTAATGGTCGAGTTCATTATCTGACTCTTCAGGTGCGTCTTGCATAAAGATTGTTTTAAAAAATGTTTTTTGATAAATCTGACGCTGCCCTTCTTGGTTGTCTTGATTTTCACGAGGGTCGACCGATTTATCAGATGGTGTCGAAGATTGATGAGAAGATTTAATATCATTATACTTATTGCGAAGAGCAGTCTCAGCTTGGCGCTTTTGAGTTGGTGCTGCAAATTTTAATTTTTTGCATCTTGGATCAAGAAGGCAAGCGAGGAGTGCATCACTGTCAGATAAGTCCCAATAGTGTAAAAGTGCATTGTATAATGCATTTTTAATTTTTTGGTTTATATTTTTAGTATTAGTAGGTATATTTATTTTGATCTTTCTTTTTTTAGGGCCTCCTTCTTCCTCTTCTTCAGCGTCAATAAATCCAATATTATCATCAAATGCTAGTCATCTGTTTCAAAATCTACTTCACTTAATTCTTCGTCAGAATAATTACTTAGATTTCTCATTAATGCAAAAATAGACGGGAGTATATAAGAAATTGTAATATATTTGAAACCACCAAGCTCCTCTGTAGTTTCATAGAAGGGTCCTAAAATATCAACAAGATCTCTCATTAAATCCCATTCATCTTCAGTTAATTGAATTTCTTTTAATCTTTTTGCATCTCTTCGGGCTTCTGGGATACCAGAGACAGTTAATGTTGTTATAACAATATCGATTGCATCCTTAATTAGTAGAAGACGTTTCCAAGCTAAAAAAGATGAATTTCAACGGGTGGGTACATCCATTTTTACACGAAGATAAGTGGAGGTTTTTTTAATTACCTATTATAAAAAGATAATTTAGTTATTTGTACAGAGAATTAATTAAAAAATTACATTACATCGTTATCTGAAATCTTTAATGTTTTTTGAGCTTCTTCTAGTCATTCATTTTGCTTCGGTGCTATAAAAAAATTAATCAACCATTTAGCCCTTACTACAAGTACTTTAGCAGGCATTAGACCTTTCCCGACAACAAGTTGCAAAGTATGAGCTGCACATGGAATTCTTACAACATCAATCATTCTGGTGATTGCTGCCTTCATGTTGCTTCCATTGTCACTTGTGATCGCATGTACCTTTCCGATAAGACCCCAATTAGCAATTGTATTTTCTAATGTTTCTCGAATAACATCAGCAGTATGCGGATATCTGACATAAGTTAAGGAAAGTAATATTTCATGGATTTTAAATTCAGGGTCGATCCATGAACAGGTAACGCCAAGATACCCTTGTCTGTTGCGACCCATCCACAGGTCTGTAGTAAGTGAACAAGTTATGACAGTATTTTGTAAATTTTTTAACATATTTTGGGCACACTGATTATACAATTTATGAATCGTTTGTTTGATGCTTTTTTCATTAGGTATATTAAACATTGGATCCAATTCCTTCACGAACTCACAAAAAAATTGGCTTGACACAAGACTAATGGGTTGGGCACTGCAGATAATAAATTTAATGAGACTCATAGTGAGTTTATCATTTTTTGATTTACTATGAGAGTATGTATTTTTTACAAAAAAGTCAATTTTTTTTTGCGTAGGCTATGTAAAATAACAAAATAAAAATAGATGTTAAAAATTTTTTATTCAAAATTAATTATTAGTTTAATTATTATCAGTATTGAAAACTTGAATATGCAGATCCAATAAAATTGCTTGATTTTAGATATCAAGCAATTTGATTAAATTCGCTCATTCAAATTTTCAACACTGTTATTTATTACTTTGTCATTGTCATCGTCTTGTCCAGATAATCCAGGCCCGTTTTGCGTAATACCATGTGTATTTAAGAGATGAGATATTAAATTTGACGTCGAGCCACCTGAAACTTTCACTCGTGAATCACAACTTTTACCCGAATCATTTAATACGTTACAAATGCCGTATATAACTTCAACATTAATTTTTTGATTATCAAGATTTTGAACAGCTTCTATTATTTTTTTTTCAACAAAATACTTCCATACCCAGCTCCGTCTTTTTGAGCCACCCTTTCGACTTAATTTAGTTTTTTTGATGGTAGGTACATTAGGAGCATCATTATCACTTTTTGCACTCGTACTTCTAGTTTCTGATGCCGGGCTATTTGATCTTGTAATGGGGTCAGCAATTGATTCGTCAATTTGACGAGCTAAAAAAAAAGATTGCGAATTATCATCATCCATTGTATATCGCTAATGACGATTCTTGTTCTAATCAAGGGGCTTTACAAAATATCAAGGTAAAATATGATAAAGTTTATATTTCAAAGTCAAGAACTAAATTTCGTTATTGACTTCAAATTCTTTGGTTTTTTATATGCTCTCAATCTCAAAACCTTTTGGTAATGCTGATAATTACTAATTCATTCCAATAACTTATGCATATATATATGTTCACAGGTTAAAATCGGTATATGCATGAATGGAAGATAAATATGGACGTCATGTTGTTTATGTGTATAATCAGCATGAATATTTTCCCTTGGGTTTTGTATTAAATCTATATAGATAAGTTATATTTAATTTTTATACACAGTATTCTTTATTTATGGTCTACATTATTTACTGATTTAAGTATCTTTTTTTTTTCTTGGCTCCCCAAAGAATTCAATAATAACGATATATGCTGGGGTTTATAATTCTGAATCATGTAGCTCCCCCAATGTTGCCATAAAAAGTTCACCTGAGAAATTTTGATGCCGTTGATTATCTACATAATCAACGTCGTGGGAACAGCTAATTGTTTTTTTAATATTATATTGTTAAGTTCTTTATATTTATAATTGAATCTAATTTTTATATTCTATTTAAATATGAAATCGATTGTAGTTCTTAGTCAAAATGAGAGCTCTAATTTGAAACGATTATGGAATCAATTTTCACACCTACAGACATGAATAATGTTTATTGATAAATGTGGAATTGGTTAAAAAAAGTGAAAAGAATTGGATATCTTTTATCAAAAATCTGCAGATAAGAATAATTTTGACAATTATTATTGTTCTTATAACGCATTATCAGAAGTTTGCTAAGGCTGATACTGATAGGAAATTTATGGAATCGTTATCTATTCCAAATACAGGATTAATGCAATGGTAACTTAACGATCCGAAGATTAACTTCAAAGGTGTCAATCTATCTTGTCTATGGTCAGGTAGGGTTATTATAGAAGAAATTTATGATCGGGTGAATTCTGATTGTTTTGAACTTTGTAATGACATATGTTTCAGAAAAAGTTTGTATCTTATTCGGCGCATGGTCAAAAAAAGTGGACTTTGAACAACTTTGTGATCTTGGTTACGTTATCAATACGATATTAGTATTGAGAAAGACAATCAGAAGGCTTTTGAATATTATATGAAAGCAACTGAATTAGGAAATCCGGTTGCAGCACAAGATGTTGGAAAAGGTCTCTGGTTGAAAATAAATATTCGAATATTTATTTGTTTTATACTAAAAAGCTACATTAAAATAAATAAATTAATAGAGAAAACTTCTAGCTAATAAGGATTCATCTTGTTGAGCTTATAATTATATAATATAGTACGATAATATGAGATAACATCACGTTGGTATAGTGATGATTTTTTTGATCAGAGAATACCGCGAAGCGGCATTTTCTGAATAGTCAAAAAATTATCGCGTACCAGTGCGATGTATCTCAGAATTATCATGCTATATTGCAATATAAGTATGGATGACGTATGCATCGTGTAAAATAACAAGTATGAATGACGAAATAAAAAAAAAGTGATTTATAACATAAATGGTGTAATACTCATGATATCAACAGTAATCGGATGCTCATTCTAGTTCTACTAATGAACTTTGTTCTTCGTCAAGAAATTCATCTTTTAGTTTTTAAAATTGCTCCTCAACAATGACCGAAAAACACCTTTTCCACTTTTACCCCCACGCGGCCGTGCTATAATTAATAGTATTGCTAACCAATCAGTATATAATATTGAGCATGACATATGACGCCCAATCTTGCATTTAATTGGTTGATTAGATAGTATGTATTCATTGAATATTCAATGAATTAATTTAGTGAAAAATTTTTATATTCGAATATTCAATTTAGTGAAACAATTCTATATTCGGATATTCAAATATTCATTGAATATCCGGATATACTATTCATCGGATCTGACCTCTAAGTTTATGCGCAGAGGCTCTTTCTCTTCGAAAGTATTTCTCATATAATCGTGGAGGTGCTTATTCCGAATTTTCTTAATACAACAATATGAAATGCACCTATTGACTAAAAATAATCTTCCAGTCCAAAATATGATGGGCCAAAGATTTGGGCTGAACCGGCTATGAATGGGGAGTCTCGTACAAAGATTTTTGATATATTTTGGATCGAATATGTGTATATCTTGAAAATAAATTGCAACTATAGTAAACCAGTTTTTTTTCAAAATATATATAAGCAAAAAATAACGTTATTGCTAACTTATCTTGTGGGTAGGAACTTGTTTATTTTATTCTTCATATTCGTTGGGTCTGAGAACCTGCCAGAAAGAAAAAATACACAATTAGTAATTACGTTACCCAAACCTAGCACCAGTTTTTTCTCCATAAAGCAACTTTGTTCAGTTATAAGTTCTAAATACTGAATCTATATTGTTATTTTTTTGGTGAAATTAACTCCCTTAGATTTGACGATTGCTTAAGGTAGATTTAGATTTAATGATCTCAGAGATTGCGGAGATTCGAAGTCTCTGTATCATATGAATTTTGATTAAACTACTGATAAAGAATATTATATTTATTGCCCTTATAACCTTTTTAAGTTCTATTCTTATCGCGAAATCTTATAAGGTAAGGAAAAAGTTCTAGAGCGCGTAGTTATTAACTGTTAATCAAAAATCGACCGTGAGAAATTAAGATAACACCGCATAAGTTTTAATACAGGTTATTGATTATTAGAGCCGGTCAAGTTTTTATCATCCATTTGAATTGATAAACCTAATTATCAAGTGATTGCTATTTTAGCCTTGACTTAGGCCAAAATAAAAAGCAGTCTCATAGTGACTGTTAAGTCATATGATAGTATGACACTTTATATAGGAGGAGGTCAATAGAAAAGGGACAAATTTTTTCTAAGTAAAAGTTTTCTTGACTTTAAGCTTAAATATCTTAGCAATTATCT